CGTTATTTCGCTTAACTAGTCCTCTCAAAAGTTATAAAAGACCTCTTATATTTATCAGAATCCCACATCCTTCTCAACGTACACCGTTGGAGCTAAATTGGCTTTTTGTCTATCCCGTTCTACTCGCTCTCCCATTCAATGGTTACAATGTTCATTCTGAGCATATCAGGCCTCTATCTGTAGTTATTCTCATTTTAGACCCTTATCTGTAATTATTTTCGTTTTTGGGCCCTCATCTGTAAATTCACCTATTTTGTTAATAATAATAAAGTGAAACTGTCTGCATTATGTAAGTGCTTTTCAATATGTTTGATTTTTAATGTTCTAAAAACTAATTATTTACTATCAAATAGATTTAAAAATCCAACAATCAAAGATAAAGTCTAGCACAAAGTTAAAAATAATATTCTCAAATCTTTTGTTTATGATCAAAATTGTTAAGCCTAATTATTTTAAAAAATACGAATTTATATATAATCTGTGCTTTAAAACTGTGTTTTTTATTATATTAAGAATCGAACTAGAAATTAAGAACACAGTCAAACTCCTCTATAGTCACATCTTGGGATACAAAAAACCGTGATTATAAAGAAATGTGACTAATATAGGGGTATTTTTTATATAGCATAAATAATTGGTAAAAATAAATTTGTAATTATATTAATTTTGTGACTATAGAGAAGGTGACTATAGAAAGGTTGACTGTATACAGAAAGTATTGGTAATTTTGTTAAGTGTGATACATGAGTTTAATATATTTGAAATTAAATCTAAAAATTCAAAACTTTGCATGTTAATAAATAATCAAAAATATATTTGATATAGTATTTTTTAAAAAAATTTCAAAGTTATTCAATTTTTCTAAAAAAAAAAAATGAAAAATTAATTTTTTAATGTTGGCAACTAGTTAATTTTTCAACTAACGATTTGGATCACTATTATGTGCAGAAAAAAATGAAAAAAATATTTGGTTGGCAGTTTTATCAAGTGATTTCTGTTTATGTTCATATTCTCCCTTTTCAGCTTCTTGATTGTTTTCAATCCATGTAATTGCTTCTTGAATTGCTTCTTCGAGTTCCTTTTTATAATACAGGTTATTTAATTTAATTCTTATTATGAATATATCAAGAAATAAATATTAAATTTATAAACATACCTGAAGTGTATTTCGCAAGTTGTATGCATAACTCTCCAAACCATTACGTGCTTGTATACTTTGAGCAACCTTTTCATCCTCTGCACGATATTTCTCGGCATCCGCAACTATCCAAGTCAAAAATAATTATTAAAATTTATAACTTTATTGGGTTATTAAAAAATGATAATAAATCTTTTAAAGCTTACTCATGCGTTTGAGTTCTTCTTTAGACAATCGACCTTTGTCATTAACAATGGTGATCTTATTAGCTCGTCCAGTTGTCTTATCTACAGCAGAGACCTATTAAGGAAACAACCATATGGCCGTAAGAAATTAAAAAAAATTTATAGCAAAATAATAATAATAAGAATAATAATAAATAAATAAATAAATAAAAACATACATTAAGAATACTATTTGCGTCAATATCAAAAGTAACTTCGATTTGAGGTACACCCCGAGGTGCAGGCGGAATATCGGTCAATTCGATTTTACCAAGTAAGTAATTATCCTTTGTACGAGCACGTTCACCTTCATATACTTGGATAAGTAAAGATGGTTGATTATCAGAGGATGTGGAGAAAATTTCAGATTTCTTGGTGGGAATTGTGGTGTTTCGTTTAATAAGTGGCACCATAACACCTCCTGCGGTTTCAATACCAAGAGAAAGTGGTGCAACATCAAGTAACATCAAGTCATCAATGCCTTCTGATGTATTACCAGACAAGATTGCAGCTTGTACAGCTGCACCATAAGCGACGGCTTCATCAGGGTTAACGGATTTGTTGGGCTCCTTGCCATTAAAGAATTCTGATACTATTTCTTGTATTTTGGGAATACGAGTAGAACCACCAACTAAAACAATTTCATGAATTTGAGATTTATCAATTTTAGCATCTCGGAGAACTTTCTCAACTGGTTCCATGGTTGATTGGAACAAATCTTGATTTAGTTCCTCAAATCGAGCACGAGTTAAGGAGGTGTAAAAGTCGATACCCTCGAAAAGTGAATCGATTTCGATTAAAGTTTGAACTGATGCTGATAAAGTACATTTTGCACGTTCGCAGGCAGTTCGTAGACGATGTAAAGCTCGAGCATTTGAAGTAAGATCTTTCCTGAATTTTCGCTTAAATTCTTGGACAAAGTGATTAACAAGACGATTATCAAAGTCTTCACCACCAAGATGGGTATCACCTGCAGTAGCTTTGACTTCGAAAATTCGCTC